CTTTTTCCTGTCTCAGTGTGTTTTCTTCTTTTCAGCCTTGTTGGGTGGGACCTAAGTTCCCTAAGGGCAAGTTGTGTGTCTGTGTGTAGTCACGGTCTGGCCTATCTAGTCTATCACGCGCTTGTCTTGCCCCTCTTTCAGCCTGAGAAATCCACACATCTGCTTTCTTTGTCATTGGTGGGTGACTCTTCTAACAGAAAGTTACCCGCTGACCTTTGGGCTCCCTGCCTTCCTGCAAATCTTGTCTCCTTAGGCGCTTTCTCTTTGCCCGAGGGCTTTCTCCGACGGGGAAGTGAAGCCCTGCTCAGTTGTCAGTTGCTCAGTCCGGGGCATCATCCCCTCCTATACTTCAGTCTTCCCCGAGTTTTCAGTAGTTCTTGTTCCTTTTCTCTCCTCACCAGTGTGGTCTCAGAAGCCGCCCTCGCCTCTGGTGCCCAGACCGTGTTGCAGCCCCCCAACCTCCTCTCTGCTGGTCTGCTGCTCTTTGCAAAATGTCAGTCTCCCTCTCCCCTCTTATTTATTCTGGCTTTCCTTTGCTCTTAGATAAACTAAAGCAAATGTCCTTCGTGTGACGGCTTTGCACCTTGCACCATCTGACAGAGAACTGTCCTAATCTTTTGAAGATACAAGTATGATTTTCTATTTATATTTAATTTTTTCACAAGTTTGATTTTAATACTTTGAGAAGCAGATGTTCTGGTTTAGACTTAAAATGGGGACTCTGTGTTACGACTTCGGCATCTGGGGAATGATGGGCTGTCCCCACATGCAAACATAATTGCTTCCTAGAGCCCACAACTACAGATAAGGTGGAAGCATTTGCTGCATTTTTTGTTTGCTGGCCGGGACATCCCTCGTGTGAGTAGAGGTGGCACAGGGGGCAAAAGTACAGACTTTTCTCCCTGTGCTGAAGGTGAGAAGCCTGGTTAATTAAAAGTGTGCGGGGAGAATGCTTGAGTTTGCACCAGACGATGTACTGTGTACTTCCTACTGTGAGTGCTGTGTGTATATTTTGCTGTTTCAGATTTCTCTTTTTCAGTTACATTCTTCATTTATGCCTGTAGCTGCTAATTTAATGATCAAAAACTTAAAGTATGTGTCTGTTTTTTTGCTCCAGAAGTCTCATAGACTAAAACCCAGCTTGTTCGAGTATTTCTGTAATAGAGTTATTTCCGTAATGGGGTCGATCACGTTTCTGTAAGACGGTTGTCCTTTGGGAGTAGAGAACCTTTGTAACTCAAAACGCCTCTTAAAAGTTGTATTAAGTAAACGTTTAAACTTTGAATGAAATGTTTTACATTTAACCCTACAGAACGAATGAGCACCCCCCCCTTCTTGGAAGTATCAACAGTGTCATGTATTATTTACTTTGTTTGTTAGTTTGCTGGGGATTGAAACGCAAGTGATCATGTTCAGGCTGGTTAGATTAGTGATTTTAATATGAAACCATTGCTTTTAGAATAATCATGGGCCAGACTGGGAAGAAATCTGAGAAGGGACCGGTTTGTTGGCGCAAGCGTGTAAAATCAGAGTACATGCGGCTGCGGCAGCTCAAGAGGTTCAGGCGGGCTGACGAAGTTAAGGTACAGCTTTATCTTTTGTGCAGTGCACCTACGGTTAAGGGTCGTTCTCCCTCCCCGCCCCCCAAAGAGAAGTTTCAATTTGCAAAGGGTCCATTTTCAGCCAAGGTCATGTTTATAGTAAAGATAAACGAAGGCTTGGAAGCCAAGGGCCTTGATCTGTCTTAATTAGCATAAAGATTGTACCAGGCACCGTAATGATAATGGAAAGATTGTAATCTAATGGCTGTTCAATCTGCTTAGAAATCACTGTCTTTTTAGTGTATCTTTTGTATTGCATGTGTAGACTCTGGACCCCCATACAAAGGAATGTGTTTCATGGTTTATGTGTTTCTAAAGTCATTGTGATTTCGTTTTTATATCATATTGACAAAATAATAGGTGTGGTGTGTTTGTGTTACTCGAATGTGGGGAAACTACAGTTTAGTGTAAAACCTATATGTGTTTGCAGGAATGCTCCTGATATTTTTGAGAAATCACTAGATTTTAACCTGCTTTGGAGATACTACCAATTTTCTAACAATGAACAATTTCTCTTCTCCTCTCCTCCATTTTTTTAAAGAGTATGTTTAGTTCCAATCGTCAGAAAATTTTGGAAAGAACGGAAATCTTAAACCAAGAATGGAAACAGCGAAGGATACAGCCTGTCCACATCCTGACTTCTGTGAGCTCATTGCGCGGGACCAGGGAGGTTGGTTAACTCACGCACTGGAGTGATTATCAGTGCATTCTGGTTTTTGCTGTTGGAATGTTGGCTGGTTATTGATAGGAAGTCACTCACTTCTGGAAGTCCATCTGTTGTTCACTGCTATTTCTTTTTAATGTGCAACTAACTGTTGGTGGCTGCCTTAGGTAACACTACGAGCTACTCCTGTAAGAGAGCTGTAGCGTTTAGAATATATTTTCACTGTTACCAGGTAGATTCGTAGATTTTTATAGGATTGTGGATTTTAAAAAGTTTTTAAACTAAATACTCTTTAATGTCCTCATCAGATCACTATTTATTTAGAGCAAGGCTTTCTGACTCGTAGTTATCTTTCTTTCTGCCCCTTAGTGTGAATTAGCCATGCTACAAGAAATGTTTCCTTTTCATGCATATTCACGCACTAAGAAAGTTACTTGTTATTGGAACATTTTGTTCAAATTCTAAGGCTCTCTAAGAATTTTAAATTCAGTGTTGAGAGATCAGAAGTCCTTTTATGTAGCATTTTCTAAATGAAGAAAGTAGATCTTAATCCTATTTTCAAAAGAAGGTAATAAACGTATGGCAGATTTTATAATTCAATGACACATGAGACACAGTGGCAGCAAAAATGAGAAGAAAATGGCAGAAGCTTAAAAACTATAGAACCCAGTAGGGTTTTACGCAAAGCATTTTGGTTTAAGTACCTGTTTTATATAGGAGAAGATGGCATAGGAGGTGGAATGCTATTTGAAAGGGCATCAAAACAGAAGGAAGAAAGCGCTTTGGAGTTTATTAAGTTACACTGTGCAGTGGGTAATTGTTTATCTGAATGTCTAGACATGGAAAAAGCATCTAGACAGTGGGCTCTGTTCAGTGGGGTTATGATATTTATGAAATACTGTAATAAGCAAGAATTTGCTACCGCGTGAGACCTGTTGAGATTGTGACACGCTGGCTTCAGAGCAACTTGTCGGTGCTGTCACAGTAGCCCAGTCCTAGTGACTGGGTCATGGTGTGGTGGTCTCGGTGGTGACACATGACTTGGAATGATTCTTAGTCATTTATTCATTTTGCCAGGTGACCCCTCTTTAAAGCCTGGGCTCGCAGTTGTGTAGATAAATATCATATGCTGCTAACACCTTCCGCACCATCTGGGATAGGTCAGGGCCCGTGTGTTAGGGGTAAATGACTTCTATTCATATATTAAGGGTGAAAGGAATTCGTTTCTATGCTAGTCAGAATGTTCTCAAAAGGAATAAGGATGGGGCTTCTAAGTAATTATGTGAAAGTTTTGTCTGGTGACCTTTTGGAAATTTTGAGGTAAAGGAAAAAGAAACTTTGTTCCTTCTCCCCAGAGGAATAGATCTTAGAAATCTGGAGGAGGAAGTAGACACATGGAGTACATGCTTTTTGCCACCCATTGCAAATCTCAAAATGCTACCAAAAGTCCAGCTTTTGTTTATAAGTAAAAGTTGATGGCAGTAATGATTTCTGACCCAGTGCTGGGTACTCTGCACACGTGAACCTCATTTAATGTTTGTGATGGTCATCTTATGCTCCCCACCCCCCCCACCCCCCACCCCCCACCCCATGAGGACACTGAGCCTTGGAAGACTTCAGTCAGTTTGCTTGCTCTAATGATCTGATGTGGGCCTAGAAGAGTACACTTTGCTCAGACACGTTAAAAAAGGAGTCAAGTTCGCTGTTTATGTCCAAGTTGAATTGTTCATGATGTAACCTTAAGTACAGATTATTCAAATGAATACTTACTGATTGAATTTTGCTTTTAATTTTGTCAAATGGAGATAAATTATTGAGTGTAAAGATATCTAACTTTTTAATGTGAGTTTGTATGAGAAATTGTAGAAGAAGTTAGCATTTTAATAGAACAAAATTCTTTTCTAAACTTAGTGCCCCACGCAGGTTGAGGAAAAACCATTTTCACAAAATAGGATGATGGGAAAGGAGGAAAATCACCCCCAGCCTCAGGAACTCTGTTCTTGTTGCCTGGAACTCTGACCCGGTCACATCTGTTAGTTTTCGAGCTACTCTTGAGAGCTGATTCTGCTTCAAATGATTCATCTTTTACTTCCCCCTTTAAAACCATCATCGCTGACATTTGGAAGCTGAACGTTTATACAGTTTGTGATAAGCTTTTTGGCGTTCTCACAATAAAAATAATAAAATTTTAGGACTGAAAAGGACTTTAATGATCTCTGTCTGATCTCCTTACTTTTTAGATGAGAGTATATCTGTGTTTATCTTTCTTCGGTTTGAGCATTCCCAGCTGTACGTCAATTTCTTTTATATGCTTTAAAAGTTGGGAGTCTGAAGTAGGTCAGAAGCAGGAGGAGAAATAAGAGGTAGTGTGTTTTGCAAAGACTTTCCTAGTAGTAGGCTTGGCAGAAGTTCAGACTGCAGTGTTGCTCCAAACACCTGACGTCTGTGGCCTTCAACATTGGGAAGTGCTGTTATAACATTGTTTTAATTAACTGCTTATTTTTATAAGCTGATCCTTTGCAAGTGCTGCGTCTTCAGTTGAAATCTTTTGTGGCCTGAGCACCATTCAATGACAATTTTCAGTTTTTCACTCAAGTCTTAGACTTCAGTCCCTTCTGTGTTTGTAAAGTAGATGTGTTCAGTTTTAAAACGACAGGTTTTTGTCTGGGTTAATTTAGCGGAGACCGTCTGACACAGGCTGCTGTCACCTGATGGGGTGACCGCCCTCGACGCCGACTTCAGATCAAGGGGCTCTGCAGTTGCACTTAGAGGCCACATCTTCCATGTGCCGTTTTCTTAGTGTGTGTCCCGAAGGCGCTTGCGGCCGCTCACTTTCCGGCGTCGAGGTCATAGAGCCTGTGCGGAAGTGCCCGTCGAACGTTGGCACAGGAGGCGCCCCTAGTTTTCTTTTTAAAAGTAGTTCTGACTTCTTGAAGACAGTGGCTGTATGTTTGACATTGATCTCCTTTGCCCTTCAGTTAATCTTTTGAAGGAGCTTTCATTTGAAAAATGTCACTAAGAGAAATACACACCAAGGGTTGTGCACCTTACTGATGTAATATGTGGCTGTTTATGCAATCAGTTGCTTGTATAGGTGACTTTCATTAGTTTGTCTTCTCAGTCAAAAAACTTGATCTCCTGTAAGCCTTCGCATCGGTAGTCCTGATCTTTGTCGTGTCTGTTTTCCAGTTTTCATGAAGAAACTGGTTTAGGAGCTACTCTTGTAGTTCTTATTAGTGCATTTCTTTTGAACATTTGTCCATTTCTTGCTAAAAACCGGAAGGCGCTTTACTTCATCGATTGTTCATGTTGAGATTTTTATCATCTGTGTGTATTATGACTGAAAGACGCTTGCGCAAATGACGTGTCTTCTGGCCAAGTGGTAGGATTGGTTTAGTAATTTAAAAATAGCCCGCCAATATGCATTTCCAGATTCTCAGGAGAATTTAATGTTCTTGTAAGAATTTTGTGTCGTGTTTACTGATGAAAATGGTGAGAATTTTGTATGTCAATTTAAATGTGGAGCTACTTCAGGATGTCTGACACAAGCAGCATCATTAGAAAGACATCATAGTCCTCATTTATGAAGAGTTAAAAATTTTTAACATTTTTTTTATTTCTGAGAGTGCCAGCGGGGGCAGGGCAGACAGAGGGGGACGGAGGATCTGAAGCTGTCTCTGTGCTGACAGCAGCGAGCAGATGGCGGGGCTTGAACTCACGAACTGCGAGCTCATGACCTGATCCAAAGTCAGCCGCTCAACCCAGCTAGCCAGGTGCCAGGTGCCCCAAGAGTTAAACAATTTTAACAATTTAACAATTTTGATTTTCCTAGTAATATTTGAAATGATTATGAGTTCATCACGTAACATTTAATGTTTACAGATTATTTTTTGGAGGGGGAAGAGGCTTCTATCAAAATAACAGTGTATGTTCTTTTATATGTTTGCAGTTTGGACTTGCTGTTTTTATTGAAGGAGACAAAAACGTCTCTTTAGACATAAACACGTGATTGCATTATTTATTGACTCATAATGCACTTTCCTCCATTAATTGTAAATAGAAATTTAGTTACTATTTACAAAGATATGCTAGTGTACCTAGTACATAATTTAGCCCTCTTCAGTACACCGTCAACTTTAAATACAGTAATGTGCTTTCTTTCCTTTGTAAATGTTGAGATTGTGGAACCAGGAGGTCTAGGTTCTCAGCCATTTGAGCAAATATGGTAGCAAGCTGGGTCATTTTTCTCATGTCTTAGAAATAAATGGATGGCTGTCAGTCTGAACATAGCCATCCTTTCTTGTTGCCTCAAGGAACTGGTTTCTAAGTCGCTTTCTGCTGCTCTTTGCCTCTCTTGAGTGCTGGTTGGTGTTTATTTGGAGAGTTCAGTCCTGTCTTCCTTAACTCTGCCAGTCCTTCCCACCATATTAACTTCTCACATCATTTCAGCCTTTGCTTCCTTTCTGGATTTCTTTTCTTTTTTTTTTTTCAATATATGAAGTTTATTGTCAAATTGGTTTCCATACTTTCTGGATTTCTTTTTTTTTTTTTTTAATTTTTTTTTTTTTAACGTTTTTATTTATTTTTGGGACAGAGAGAGACAGAGCATGAATGGGGGAGGGGCAGAGAGAGAGGGAGACACAGAATCGGAAACAGGCTCCAGGCTCTGAGCCGTCAGCCCAGAGCCTGACGCGGGGCTCGAACTCACGGACCGCGAGATCGTGACCTGGCTGAAGTCAGACGCTTAACCGACTGCGCCACCCAGGCGCCCCCTTTCTGGATTTCTTTAGGCTGAAATAGATGGAGCATTTTCTGAAATGACCATAAAGGAGGCTTTCCTTTTATTTTTTATTTTTTTGAAAGGAAACTAATGGGTTTTATAATGCTTTTCCAAAAGGACATTAAAAAAAAAAGGTCACTTGAGATGTCGGAGTTTATATTATCAATATCCTGTAATTAAATATATATCATACACTTGATGTATGAGTTTATTTTTTAAACTTAGA